GTTTGAATCCGCCAATTTTGGTGTAATGTGGCTGGCACTGTAACTATTGTGCTATGGGTGCCAAGCCTAGATTACGATTTCAATTTAAACATACCATGCTCTGATTTTATAAATAAGCTGTTGGCACAGACTGGCTATTGTTTCAGATGAATATTAACTATCATCTCAAAGAATTCACATTAGTATTGCATGAAAGCAGGGATTCTAGGAGCCTTTGGGAAAGAATACTAAAGATGAAAGGTAGCAGGAAAAAACTGCGGGAGAAGCCAAAAAATTTAGCTGTTTTACACACACACACAGGGTACATCCAAAACCAAACCATCAAACTGCAAAAACATTAAATTATAATAAATATTATTAGATCACAAATGACTGGCATGTAAACTCTTAAAAAGTTTAAAATACAGGGCAGAGCCCATGGCTCAGTGGGTAGGGTGCTGGCCCCATATACCGAGGGTGGAGGATTCAAAGCCGACCCTGGCCAGCTAAAACAGCAGTGGCAACTGCAACCAAAAAATAGCCGGGCGTTGTGGTGGGCACCTGTAGTCTCAGCTATTCGGGAGGCTGAGGCAAGAGAATTGCTAAAGCCTAAGAGTTGGAGGTTGCTGTGAGCTGTGATGTCACAGCCACAGCGTTCTACCAAGGGTGACAGTTTGAGACTCTGTCTCAAAAAACAAAAAAAGTTTAAAATACATACAATACATAGATATATACACCTATTTCCATAATGGACACATACATAGAAAGAAACACATATACCGGGCAGGCACTTTTCCAGAAACTCAGATACTTTTCACTTGAAAAGCAAAAATCAAGATCATTATTTAGGCACCATTATCAATATTTGCATCATGATTCTATATATATCAGCTTAACAAATCTCTACATAACAATTAGGAAAATCATGTTAGAATTTTTTTTTTTTTTTTTTTGAGACGGAGCCTCAAGATATCCCCCTGGGTAGAGTGCCACGGCATCACGCTCACAACAACCTCCAACTCCTGGGCTCAAGCGAGTCTTCTGCCTCCGCCTCCCAAGTAGCTGGGACCACAGGCACCCGCCACAATGCCTGGCCATTTTTTGGTTGCAGCCATCATTGTTGTTTGGCGGGCCCGGGCTGGGGATTCGAACCCGCCACCTTAGGTGTATGTGGCTGGCGCCTTAGCTGCTTGAGCCACAGGCGCTGAGCCCATGTTAGAATTCTTAACAGAATAAGCCTTGCCTCTCTTAATTCTTGTTGGAGAATCAATCTCTGTCACGTCCACCTGAAAACCCTAAAATGCTAATAAATGCCGCTAACGGGATTAATGGTGTTACAACACATAACATCCCTGAAGATTCAGTGCCAGTACACAATGAATGCAACCTATCATCCTGTAAGGTTTTCCGTAACCTAATACAGTTTTCTCTATCAGAATGTCCTGTGTGAAGACAATAATTAATGATACTGTATTGTATAACAGAAATTTGCTAGGAGAGTAGATTTCCATGTGAGGATGATAATACATTACCTAGTACTGTATATTAGAAATTTGCTTAGAGAGTAGGTGAAAATGATGCTTTAACCATAAGCACAAAAAAGGCAACTGTGAGGTGATGAATATGTCAGTTTGCTTCAGTGTAATAATCATTTTACTGTGTTTATCAAAACATCATGTTGATATAACTTAAGTATACAAAATTTAAAAAAGAAATTGTGTCTGTTGGAATTAACAGAAATCAAGCAAAAACAGTAATCTGCAACAATACATTTCACAATTACATCATGAAAATGCTATGCCGTGTTAAAGGAAGAGAAGATCTAAGAATTAGAATACTTTTGAGTTCTAGCGCCAGTGTGTGAATATAGTTAGTAACGTTGTGAAATATAAAACACTATGTTACTAACTATATTCACACACTGTTTTACATTTCACAACTGCTAAGAGAATAAATTTCAAATTTCTTCACCACAATAAAATGCTAAGTATTTTAGGGGATGGATATGTTAACTAACTTGATTTAACTGTTCCACACAGTACTCATAATCATAATATCAAGTTGTACCTCATAAACTTATTTATGTTATGTATTTATAATTTATCAATTTATAATTTAAGATGAATAAAATTAAAATATCAAAAAATGATAATAGTTCTTTTAACTTAAAACTGACATTGAGAAAAGGCATTTCTCCAATTTAAATGTTTTTGTTTTCCTAGTAAGCATCCTCTAAGTAACAAGGATGTCATATTTTTTTCATACAAAAATCTAGTCATCATGGTAAACATAACCTATTGGCACCAATATGAGGTCAGGAAACATTTTATGAAAGTTTTAAGATGTTAAAGCTTGAAAATAGACAGGAATTGAACATACTAGTGATAAGAGAAAAACCAGAAAATTGATAGCAAGTCCATCATCAGTAAAAGTTAATAAATGTTACTCAGTTAATATTTATTGCAGCCCACTTCATAATTGCTAAGTCATGGAAGAAGCCCAAGTGCTCCACTGACCCACTAATGGATCAATAAATTGTGGCATATGTACACCATGGAATATTATCCAGCCTTAAAGAAAGATGGAGACTTTACCTCCTTCATGTTTACATGGATGGAGCTAGAACATATTCTTCTTAGCAAAGTATCTCAAGAATGGAAGAAAAAGTATCCAATGTACTCAGTCCTACTATGAAACTAGTTTATAGCTTAACCCAATTATAGCCCAAGAATATGGGGGAAAGGAGGGGAGGGGAGGAGCGAGGCTGGGTAGAGGGAGGGTAATTGGTGGGACCACACCTACAGTGCATCTTAGAAGGGTACATGTGAAACTTACTAAATGTAGAATATAAATGTCTTAACACAATAACTTAGAAAATGCCATGAAGGCTATGTTAACCAGTTTGGTGAAAATATTTCAAATTGTATATAAAACCAGCACATTGTACCCCATGACTGTATTAATGTACACAGTGATGATTTAATTTAAAAAAAAAACAAAAAAACAAAAAAACAATAGTAGCCAGAAAAAGTTTCCATACGTGGAACAATTACTCTACTGAAGGACTTATTTTAGGTCATACAATCATCATTCTCTCTTAATATGCTACATTTAAGGCATTTTAACATTGGAAAATTTCAGCTTAATAAAATGGAAAAGATTACAAAGAGTCCCAAGGTGGCAGAGAATTTTTGTGTTTTTCCTTATATATATACCTAGCACCTAAAAATGTGCCTGTCACAGAGTAGGTGTTAAATGGTTAAATGAATTTTTGTTTATTTGGTTTTTTTTTCACAGAGGCCTATGGTTGTAGTCCCATTCTTAAAGACAGTTACAGTTTGAATGCCTGTCCTCTCAAAATCTCATATTGAAATTTAATTGCCATTGAAACATATTAAGAAGTGGGACCTATAAGAGATGATTAGGCCTGGAGGGCCCCACCATCACGGGTGGGGATTGGTGCCCTTGTGAAAAGGCACATTTGGGCCTCCTCCTGTCTTCTGCCTTCCACCACCAAATGACACTGTAAGAAGGACCTCACCAGATGCCAGCAGCTTTATCTTGGACTTCCCATCCTCCAGAACTGTTAGAAAGAAATTCCTGTTCTTTTTTTTTTTATTTCTTATAGCATAACTGTGTACATTAATGTAATCATGGGGTACAATGTGGTGTTTTCATATACGTTTTGAAATATTCTCATCAAACTGGTTAACATAACCTTCATGTCATTTTCTTAGTTACTGAGTTAAGATATTCATACACTGCTTTTAGAAAGATTCACTTGTACCCTTGTAAGATAAACCATAGAGGTGACCCCACCAATCACCCTCCCTCCCCCATCCACCTCCCTCACCTCCCCTCTCCCACATTCTAAGGCTATAATTAGGTTATGACATTCCTATAAAAGCTATGAATTAATTTCAAAATAGGGCTGTGTACATTGGATACTTTTTCTTCCATTCTTGAGATACTTTGCTAAGAAGAACATTTTCTAATTCCATAGGCGCATGGCCTACAGATATATGAAAAAATGCTCTCCATCCTTAATCATCAGAGAAATGCAAATCAAAACTACCTTGAGGTACCACCTAACCCCAGTAAGATTAGCCCATATCACGAAATTCCTGTTTTTTATAAATTACCCAGTCTCAGGTATTTTGTTACAGCAGCACAAATGGACTGAGACTGAGACATACGGAAGCACTTTATGACCCTCAACATTTCTGCAGTGCTTAGCTGCGCACAAACGTTAACTAAGCACCGGAGATGGTGTCTGCCCTGCTCTGCCACTAACTGGGCCAGCCATGAGACTTGAGGCAAGTGGTGTGGCCACTCTAGCCACTGACTTTTTTACCTATAAACTTTGGAAGAAGCTTGCTATTGCTTCTAGTTCCATAACTTTGCAACTATAATCCATTCAAAAATTATTTTCTGAAGCTTGTTTTCTAAAGCCGCTAAAAAATTTACCGCTTTTGCTTGGTTAAAACACACCTATGATACAAAATCAGGGACACACATAGTTATAATTCTGAACACTTTTTCACCTGGGATAAGATTTTAAGTAGTATATGCATATAAACAGAAGCCTTAAATATTTATAGCAAATAAAATATCTAACTTTAAAACAATATAGACATATAGTAATTCATTCTAATTTCTATAGACTATTTTAATGGCCAAATACTTATGAATGGGTTTCATTTTATATTTTATTTTTCTAAATAAAATAAAACTATTTGAATTTTATAACAATCACATGTTTAACACACTCTCTCTCTCTTCTTAGCTAGACTACAAGCGCTAAGAAGACACGTGTTCGTGTAGGTAGGGCTGATTATCTGTCACACTGATTCTCAGTCTTCTTGTAGCCTGCCCAGATTCCATCTACTCCTCTCTTTGATCAATACTGCATGTTTTATTATCATAAGATAAAATATTAATGGTTCCAAAATTGTTCCTAAAGAATTCACTGGAATTACATAATTTTAGAACATGGAGACTCAAAAGGCAAATAACCTTACCTGGACAAACTTTTCCTTTGCTTCCTTTTCGTTATGTAACATGTAAACTGGTGTATACTGTACAGACCCAGAACAGGTCCCATAATCTTCCTCATTTTCCTACGTAGAAAAAAATACACAATTATTATAAAGTACTCCTTTTATTATGAAAATTATTAGATTAATAAACAAAATATCTGATATACATGCAAATAACAAAATAATATTTCAGCTATAAGTTTAAAGAATCTATTAAGAAAAAAATGCATTTTTCTATAATATGAACTAATAATTTCCAAAATAATCTCTACTTGAATAAAATTTATGTGAAGATAATTTGTTCTCCATCACTGCACTGTAAATTTTAAGGAGTATGTTTTCTCCAAAGGTAAAAATTGAAAGCATAACAAATAATAAAAGAGTTAATGTGTAATCAAATCATATACACATATATACACATATTCATATACTTGCATTATTCATAGTTTTCAATATAAATACTCATGCATAATCTTTTATAAATTAGGAACATTATTCAATTTAAATAACCTACTATTGGAAAGAGCCTATAAAACCAAATGATGGCATTCCTGGCTTAATTCTTCACTGAAGATATTTTTTAAAAAAATTCTCAGCTTTTAGCAAGAACTGCAATTGCAATATCAAGGCAATCAACTTTATGAAAACATACATCCTGTTAAAGCATCTTTGAAGATCTCCATAGTTCTGTGATAAAATATGCAAACAATAAGGAGATTATTCAGTGCATGCATATAGAATGGCGGATAGCTGCCAGAGGGCTTGTTATAAAATATACATTCTGAAACAAAGGGCTAAGCATATTTCAAAAGTCATTAAAAACATAAATCTCATGTGATTTGTAAAGTATAAACTTCAAACTAATACAAGAATCAAGATAGAATTAAAAAAAAAAAAGAATATAACACACCTTGTGTTTTAACTTACTCCGCACTTCCTTTAGTCCCAGCTTTGCATGACTTTTTGCCTAGAAAATGATAATTGTGTCTGGCTCAGCATGATTTTATTACCATTTGAAGAATAAGCATATAGGATCATATTTAACAAACACTGCTAACAATTCCTACTACTTAGCAAACAGAATAGTTTATAATCCAAAACTATGTTCAGGGATACTATACCACTTACTATTTTATTACATGTAAATAAGCTTGTAATGAATGAGATTTAGTCTCTTATTTGCATACAGACATCATGTGAAGGCTCACGCCTAGCCTATTTTTACCTTCTAATCTATAAAAAACACAAAGAGAATCAACCAGATTACTAATGCTAGTCTTTATTTAAAATTGTGGCAGACTGTAGAGGGGAAGAAAGTACATCCCAGCAGCAAGTTTATTTTGGCCAAAGGTTTGGATATTAAGAAGCTCGGGCAACTTTACAAAGCTTTATTAAAGTGCTTTTATAGGCAGACATAGATTTTTATTAGCAGAGCCATCTTAATGGAATGCCTATTTTATATATAGTTTTTCTGGCAAAAAATGGAGTCATTTAACAATTTAAAAGCTATCCTGATGTTCATCAGGAATCTGGCTCCAGTATCCAGGTCCTGCTGTGATTCCTGCGGGGCGTAACCTAACTAAAGACAACTGGGGCTTTCATAAAAGCCTCAGCCTTTGTTCCTCTGGAAATTCTCACTCACAGTGGCCAGAATAAAAAGAAGAGAAACGGAATTCACATTTATTTTGTGTTTCCTAAATACATGTCCATTATCTCATTTAATCATTGCAACAAATCTATGAGATTAATAGTATCATTATCACATTTTACAAATAGGGAAAATGATGGAGGGGGTAGCACTATTTAAGTCTATTTTTATAAAGTCTAATTTCCTCCCCTCTCAAAGGGGAAAGAGGAACTAATGTTTTAAAAAGACACCCACTGAATTTAGGTCTCACCAGAAAGAAAAACTTGTAAACCTCATTCTACAGACACAGATACAGAGGTCATGGAGACTTGAGACTCCAACACTGAACCACCCTGCTTTCCCAAGTTGCTTCTAGAACGAGTAAATGCATGCCTCCCTCTCCCAAATTTCCTGAGGGAAGGGATCTTAATTCCTTCCCAGGTAAAATCTGCAGTACACAGCACAGTTACTTGGCATAAAAAACTGCTCAAGAAATGTCTTCAACTAAACAATTTCTTTGTTATAAAGTGAGACAAAACAAAACCATACTGCACACACAATAAAAGATAATCTGAAATGCCAAATAACACTAAATCATATGCCATGGTTCTTTAGAATTAATACAACATTTTCACATTATTTTATTTATAAAGTCATTGAATCTATTTAAAGGATCCTATTAATCCCTATATTTCTATTAGAGAAAAATATATAATTACCAAGAAAAAAAATACTTCTGTTCCCATCTCCTAGGATTTATGCCCAACTTTGTTTTGCTTGTTTAGACTAAGATTCTAGTTTATCAAAATATCCTGTAGTTTACCTGATCACACCAATCTTTTCCAGTGCTCCTGAGTTTACAGAGCTAAACTAGCATCCGTTTCTTCTATGGTTCTATAATTCATGCAGTGATTTGTTGACCTCTGCATGACCTCTTTCAAATCACCTGGATGATAGGGTATAGGTTCTCTCTACCTTTATCAATTCACCAAGTTGAAACCTAACAATATACAAGCATTCTACAACAATGATTTTCAACTGATGTGCCAAGAGAGTAAATCTTAGGTGTTCCAAGTAATTTTTTTTTTATTTGAGACAAAGTCTCACTATGTTACTCTTAGTAGAGTGCCATGGTATCACAGCTCACAGAAACCTCAAACTCTTGGGCTTAAGAGATTCTCTTGCCTCAGCTTCCCAAATAGGCTAGGACTACACACGCCTGCCACAATGCCCAGACATTTTTTGGTTGTTGTTGTCATTGTTGTTTAGCAGGTCTGGGCTGGGTTCCAACCCACCAGCCCTGGTGCATGTGGCTAGCACCCTACCCACTGAGCAATAAGTGACAAGCCTAAGGAAAAATTTCAAGGGCTCACTCAAGGCAAATTTGAGGGGTTACTGACTCAAAACCATTTCTGGAGTTTTAAATGGGTTATGAAAATTAAATAATTATTGAAAAAACAAATAAACATTTGCTTTTTTCCCCAAATGGCAGTTTATGCTATATTATTGTGAAGAAAATATCTTCAAAGTTGGCATTTATTGGAGATATTTTTGAGAAAATATCTCCAAATTCTGGAACAAACGAACAAAAGGCAGAGGGGGTTGTTTCTAGGCAAAATGATCACCTCCCACTTTTGCTGTGAGGTTAGGCTGCAAATAGTTTGGAATTTGGGTACTATTTTTTAATCAACTATGTAGAGTAGCCTCCCTACTATAAAACGTAATCTTTGAAGTGAGTTTTTTAAACAGAGGTACAGCTACTTTCATATTGGAATTACAAGGTAAGGAAATAATATAACTTCCAAGCTCTTATTAAAACATGTTATTAATACACTATTATTAATTCAATCACATCAATGCATTTAGTGAAGCTTCTGATAAAGTTTTACAAAATCAAAACTATTGCCTTAAATATTTTTAGAAATATAACATATATGACCTATTGAATTAATAACCTTATTGAATACCAACCCAGTAGTTTTTCTCTCAAGAAGTTATTAGTCTAATATTATAGATAAAGGAGTACAAAGGAAAAATAAGTGCTGAAACAGAGGCTCCTACTCTTTTTGTGTGGTGTTGGAAAATTTTTTTTCAGGGGAAATAATGTCTGAACTAAACCTTAAAAAATGAACTAGGTTTACTAGGTGCATAAAGTCCAACAAATGGACATTCCAAGCTGTAGCAAAGGCTTGAACAAGAATAGAAGAACAGAAGTGAACCTTTTATATTCATGAAATGCAGAGTAACTAAGAATTTTTAGAGATATGCAAGGCTTGAAGGAATAAGGAGGAAAGAAATAGGACATTAGAGGGGCTAGATTTTCCAGAGTCTTAGTTGGCACATTAAAAACATCTTTATTTTATTATTTACTTGTTGGTGTTCTTGTTATTATTTTACTTATATGCCATGAAGAACTGATGCTGATGAAGAATATTAATTATGGAGAGCCAATACATCTTTGAGAATAAAGATCTTGCTATATATTTCTGCTTTTGTTTTTTCTACTTGAGCTTCAAGTAAACAATGAGAATTTAAAATATATTGAATGAGGCTGAGCAAATGGAGGCTTACACCTGTAATCCTAGTACCCTGGGAGGCTGAGGTGGGAGGATCCCTTGAGGTCAGGAGGTTGAGACCAGCCTGAGCAAGACCAAGATCCCAGTCTCTACTAAAAATAGAAAAACTAGCCAGGTGTGGTGGTACACACCTGTAGTCACAGCTGCTCAAGAGGCTAAGGATAAAGGATCACTTGAGCCTAAGAGTTTGACATTGCTGTGAGCTATGACAATGCCACAGCACTTTACTTGGGGTGACAGAGTGAGAGTCTGTCTCAAAAAGAAAACAATGTTGAATGAAAGAATCAAATTTTGGCTTGGCCCTCATAGCTCAGTGAGTATGGTGCTGGCCACATACACCAAGGCTGGTGGGTTCAAGCCTGGCCCAGGCCTGCTAAAGAACAATGACAATTGCAATCAAAAAATAGCCGGGTGATGTGGTGGGCACGTATGGTCCCAGCTATCTGGGAAGCTGAGGCAAGAGAATCGCTTAAGTCCAAGAGTTGGAGGTTGCTGTGAGCTGTGACGCCACAGCCACAGCACTCTACCAAGGGTGACATAGTCAGACTCTGTTTCAAAAAAAAGAAAGACTCAAATGGTATTCTTCTTCATGGACTGTTTCAGTTTGCTATACAAATTTGCTGATAACTTTGAAATAAAATAAAATCATTTTACATTTGTATAAAGGACATATCATCTCTATGCAATAATTTTATTATTGAAATAAAATTAAAAAATCATTTTACATTTGTATAAAGGACATATCATCTCTATGCAATAATTTTAATAACTTAATATGCTTTGGTCATTATTAACCCTAAACATTTTTTAAAGCTTACTTAAAAGAAAAAAAGAAAATATTTAAAATTTACATGTCTATCATCTAGTAAAATGCTATATAGTTTTAACATTAGAATTTTTAAATATCAAATGAAAACTTACAAATTTGTATGCTGTCCGTACAGCAGGAGTTGCTTTGGTCATTGCTGTGTTGAACAGTGCACCTCCTCCTTTCTGCAAAAGAAAAACAGAAACACATTCCCAAAAGATTTCGGCCAAAATACCTTAAAAACAAAACATTATTAGTGGTATATAAAAAAGAGATTTATCCACAACTTAAAGACGTATAGAAGTTATTTCCTGTTTAGTGTTTTTAAGTTTTTATATGCTGTAATAATTCAATCAAATTGTAAATATTCTACTCTGTTCTTTTAGCTGG